TAAAAATTTACAACTTTGCAAATTCATAATTCATTCTTCAAGGTTTATTACACATTTTACAAAAAAGTAAATATGCTTCGGGATGGGGTTACAATTTATGTGTGAGTTATATTTGAGCTTGCCTCAACAAGTTACATTTTGCATACATCTAAATTAGATTTCCAATTAACATGAGTTACATTTTTCATAACACGAGTTACATCACAAAATAAACCTCTGCTATTGAAACAAAACAAAAAAAAACATTTTTTACAAAAAAAAGAATGATTTTTTGGCAAAAAGAAATGTTTTTGTTTTTGGGAAAATGATTTTCTTAAAACATTTTTACGACCTTAATATTAAAAACAAAACATATTCACTATTTATGTAAACTAATTGAGCAGTTAGACTCCTTTTCTTCATTTTATTATATTTAATAATATATAGAGTTACATTTTTTATGCGCGAGTTACATCTTGATATGTATGAGATACATCTTATGCCCAAGTCATATTTTGACTTGTCTCAACAAGTTACATTTTACATATATCTAAGTTAGTTTGCCATCAATGCGAGTTACATTTTGTTGGAAAAATGTGTTAAAAATTACATCAAATGGTCAATTTGGGGAAATATTTTGAGTGGGGTCCACTTCCGATTTGGGTCGGGTCAAAATGGTTTCAGATTTTCCTTGTTAAGGGCTACAATTCGATATATGGTACACTCAAAACGGATAACGGGTGAATGAGAAATTGATTCTTGAACTTCACTCGTTAAAATAGAAAAACTAGGAAAATGATGGGTTTTTAGTGAGATTTATTCCACACCGGAAAATCCAAGGGATTTTCACCCCTTATAAAGGGAGCCCGGCCTCTTCAAAGGAGTTAAGATTCTTAGGTGGAAAGACTCTATTCACACGCAAATAGACGCTCGTAAGCTTTTCAGAAAAGTTACGACACAACACCCAGTAGAAAGTTTTGTTGCGAGAAATAACATGTCAATCATTTGAATTAGACTCAACGTTTATAGGCGCTTAGAAATGGTTATTGTTGTACGTATACAATAAAGACTAATTAGTTACAGGATTAATACTGAGTTTAAATACATAATTCAACAACGTATTAATTGTTTTGGCCGTTGATATATGCTCCTGACTGGCAGGTCATCCTGGTTGGCAGGCTTGATGTTTGAGCTCCTTACTCCTGGACGGGAAGGCAGACTTCCCATTGGACTAGAAGATAGGCTCCCTGTTGGGCGGAAAGTAAGCTTTCAGGTGGATCGATAGACAGGCTCCCTTCGGGTCAGACGGCAAACTTCAACCTGGGATGGTAGGAAAACTCCATGTTGGGCAAAAAACAGACTCCATGTTGGATTGGAAGGCAGACTCCTCAATGGCCTGGAAGGAAGACGCCCGCTAGATTTGAAGGCAGACTCCCTAGCGGACTTTATTTATTACACAATTCAACGTGTTAGTATAATGTTGATTGACATATAAAAAAAGCTCACCACATGAGCTTGTGATATTCATGTAATTTCCGATTGTATGTTTGTATTTTTAACTAGTTTTTATTAGTTCTAGTTGAGGAAATTACACGCTTTTGGTGTAATACTTTATTTTCATATTTATTTATAATTTGTTTAGATTAGGACTTTTCTGAGCTAAACAGGTCAAAGATCATCCAAGGGATCAAGATTGGACCTTAAAAGATCAAGGAAAGTGCAAGGAGGCAAGAAAGATTTCGATTTGGAAAAAATACTCATGTACCCGGTCGGGTATTGCCTATACCCCATCGGGTATTTGCTTGATTCGATTGTCCAAATCAAATCCGGGAACAAATGATCCTGGGAGCAAGATTTCGTTAAGATTTGTCACATACCCGATCGGGTATGCCGACATACCCGGTCGGGTATACTTTTCTGGGAAATTTCCTAAGATACCCGGTCGGGTATCCTATATACCCGGTCAGTTTAGTTAAGTATTTCTTTTATATTTTTAGCATGTTCAGCCCCTGCAGCTCCCAAAAGCCTATAAATACACCCCTTTCCTTAACAATTAAAATCACCAATTCACATATACTCTTTAGCTCAGTTTAGTTAAGTATTTCTTTTATATTTTTAGCATGTTTAGTCTCCAAATGAGGAGCTAAACTCTTCCATCTTGTTGTTGCTCTTGAAGCTTGTTGATTATTAAAATTGTGAGTTATTTTCTTAACTTCTTTCCTTGAATATTAATTAATGGTTCTTTCCTTAATATCATCTCTATATTAATGTTGGGGAGTGTTGCTAAGATGACAATTAGTTAACATCTCGACATTAGTTAGAATGGTATTTTCTTCCTCTATATTAATGTTGAGGAGTGTTGCTAAGATGACAATTAGTTAACATCTTGATATTAATTATAGTAGGATTCATCTTCTTTAATAATATTCTTCCTTGAATATTAATTAATTCCTACTCATATTTCATTTTAATATTTTGAACATTACTTAAAGGATCAACTAGTTTTGTTTCATATATTAATTATTACTAGAAACGATCAACGAACCGATGGTTAATCGTTGATGGTTTCACAAGTAAGTAACTTCGGTTTATTAATGCACGATCGTGGTTAATAAACTTAAGAGAGATTAATTTTGTTGGTTAAACTGAAACCGTTGTGTTGAGGTTATCAATCTCAATTGATTTCTTCAAGGAGTTAGAAAGATTAAATGCTACTATTAAATCGGTATAAGGCGTTGTTCTATATTTGATTAATAGTAAGGGTTATTAATGAACGGTTGTTGTTAATAACTACCCTCGATGAAGTGGATATACTCCCCGGCAACTGAGTATTCGAGAGGGAATAAGTTATAGATATAACAATGATCGACTAAAATATATCAACACGTGGAAAGTAGCAATGCCAATCCTTTTTTATTCTTGAATTAAACACATATAGGTTGTTCATCTTAGTTTCTTAATAAAATTAAATCATTCAAAACCAAACCCCCCCCCCCCCCCCCCCTTTTTAATTACTAGTTTCATAAAAAGAGAATCATTCCTTTCTCTGTGGATACGAACTCTACTACGCTATACTACGTATAAGTGTTTAGTATTGAATTTATTTTGACGCACCGTGACAAAGTGCTCGTCAGCTTGTATACTCGAACTCTCATGATTTTCTTACCATCGATATCTGGAGATCCATAGACTCCATCAATTCTAAACAAATATTTCTAAAATCTATAGGGAAATTTTCTGAAAAAAAGTATAAAATTACAAAATATGATTATCATGTGTTTATTCTCTAAATGAAAATAATTACTACCAAACTTAGAAAATATTGCCAAATTTAAAATCTAGTACAACCAAAACATGAAAATAATTGGGCCTTTTTATTGAAATATTACTATTAATTTAAGGATTTCCAATTAAGTGAGTTAAGTTTTAAAAGTCCAAAAATATGACTTCCACCAGTTTTAGACTTCCAGTAGTCTTGCCGCACCACCGCCCAACCTACTCCGGCCATAGTGACAGCCGCTCAGTGACTTGCTCCGGCTATAGTGACCGCCGCTCAGTGACTTGCGCCGGCCATAGTGACCGAAGCTCAGTGAATTGCTCCGGCCATAATGACCACCTTGCTCCGCTCAGTGACTTGCTCCGATCATAGTGAATGCCGCTACAGTAACAGCCCACCGGTCAAAGTGACACACCGTCTCCGGTGTCACCTGCCCCATCCCTTCCCCATTCCCTCAGCCTCGTCCCTATCCTACTCCGCCCTAGCGCCACCGCCTACCATCACTGTCGACCACTGCCCCACCCCCAGCCACCTCCCCACCCCCAAAGCCCCCTCTCTAGCCCCCAGCCCGACCACCGCTCCCCCGCCCCATCTCCCTGGCCCATTTCATCTCCCTAGCCCCACAGCACCCCCACAACCCTGCCCAACAACTACGCACCCCCAGCCCCACCCAACCACGCCTCACCACAGCCCCACTCCAAACAACGTCGTATCACAGCCCCATTTCTACTCTGACCATCCCAATCCAACCCCCAATCCACACATTTTCATCCTGGTCGTCGTCGTCATTCCGGATCCAGATCTGGAAATCACCTCGTCGATCCATTGATTAGGTTAAAGCCCTTCGACCTGCGTCTTGCCGTATCACACCGTCAATGGTGGTCCAGATCTGACCGTCGTCACCATCTCTCGGCCACAGAAAGGTGAAGAAGAAGAAAACAAACCTGGTGGCGGCGATGGCGCAGCTTCAATTCGACGAATACGAGGAGGAGAAGGCGTTGTAGATTTGATGACGCGACAAGAGGTCTACGATGCAGAGAGGGCCATGGGTGACGACGTCGCAGAGATGCGAAGAAGATGCAGAGTCGACGCTGCGATGAAGATGTGAAGATGATGAAGATGCGAAGATGAAGTGTGTACGAGCGATGAAATGCGAAGAAACGAAGGAGCATATCTCCTGAGTCACTTTTTGGAAAAAGTAAAACTTGTTATATTTTTGGAAATGTAACGCCCGGTAGTAATATGCCTGCCATTATTTCAAATAATTACTCATATTTAAGAAAATTTAAATATAATAATCTTCTATTAAAATACACAAACATTTTTTATCCCACAATTCAATTTCTCAAACATTTTTAATGGGAAAACTGTCAAATAGGTCGTCGAACTTTCATAAAAAGGTCAAATAAGTCTTTATATAGGAGGCTCTGTCCGGCCATCACGATTTGATGTGGTTCCCCGGTGGAATGTTTTGATGACAATTTTTGAGCATCTTATTCATCAAGTCTAGTTCACTCATACCAAATTTCAGCTAAAAATTCAATCGGGAACACATTCAAATTAATTCTTGAACATAACCTTGCTTTTAAATGCGCAGTTATCTTCAAGATTTAAATTGAATGAATAAGATGCTAACAAAAATTCATCAAAAAATTTCATCAGGAATTGACCCAAATCGCGACGGCCGGACAGAGCCTCCTATATAAGAACTTATTTGATTTTTTATGAAAGTTCTAGAAAGTATTGGACAGTTTCACTTTTTAATTTTTTTTAATCAATTAGGTATTCATTCAAGGTGGTTCCCTCCGTCTCCACTCGCTTGCCAAAATGGAGGGAGAAGTAGCCAGTCTAAGAAGATTTCTTCGATGGGCAGCCGAGCAGGGGATCACGGACTCTCTGTCACCTACCACCCCACCGGACTCTTCTTTGGGTCACTCCCTCTCCGTCTCCCATTTTCCCGAAGCCGGGGGGTAATTTATATGCTCTTGTATATATTCATGTATGCGTATATATACCTGTATTCGCATATGTATTTTTCTTTTGATAATGCAGAAGAGGTTTGGCGGCAGCTCGTGACCTCTGCAAAGGGGAGTTGATTCTCAGAGTTCCAAAGACTGCTTTGATTACAACTGAAGTTTTGGCGAATAACGACCATTCTCTTTCTCTTGCTCTGCAAAGTCACACTTCTCTCTCTCCTACTCAGGTGTTTTTTATGGATCGAAGATGGGGTATTTGTTTATATATCAATATGTGTGAATTCTGAATGAGGACATAAGGTGTTTGTGATAATGTCTGAATTGGAATTTCAATTTCCTCCCATGCTTATGCCACTAACCTAGATAATTTAATCCTACCTTCACTGGACAGTGAAGAAAAATATAAATGAATTAAGATCAAGCTGTAAAATTTTCTTTTTTTATCAGGTACTGGCCGTTTCTTTGCTAAATGAAGTAAACAAAGGGAATAGCTCTCGGTGGTATACTTATTTAAAGCAATTACCACGCAGTTATGATATCCTTGCTGGTTTTGATCATGTTGAAATACAGGCGTTGCAGGTATTTTTCAATGCTGTGATCTAAAATAGGTTTTGGGGGGAGATAAATGATGTTCGGTAAGTTATTGAATTTATGGTAAAATAAGATTTATTTTTTTTGTTTACCGCCTCTGAAATGATTTGCAGGCTGATGATGCTATCTGGGCTGCTGAAAAGGCTGTGCAGAAGGCTAAGTTGGAACTTAATGAAGTTAGTGTTCTAATGCATGAATTGAAGCTTAAGCAACATCTAATGACACTTAAGGCATGGCTCTGGGCTTCTGCAACTGTAAGTATGTTAGCTCTCGCTAAGTATGGGAGTAAAAGAGGAGGGGATTTTGTTATAATCTTCTTTGAGAAAGAAGAAAACAAAAGTATGGAAGTAAAAGTTTTTTCCTCTTCTCATTTTCTCTCTAAATTTGAAAGAAATGAGAAATTCATGTGGAAAGCTTTACTTTTCATATGAAATGCGCTATTTTAACCTCATAATGAGATCTTTGTTGACTTTTCCTCCAAAATTAACAATTTCATCGCCGACCTTAATGTCCTCTTTTCCGATCACATGAGAGGAAATAATGAAGGCAAAAAAATGTTTTCTTTCAATATTTTCTATTCTGAAGGAGGAAGTTCCCAAAATATTGTTTCCTCCGTCCCGTTAAGATTGTCCCATTTTTCATTTTCGAGAAATCTCACTAAGATTGTTTCATATCAAATTTTATAAAGTTTGTGCGGCTCTAAATTATTTTTACTTTATTCTTACTTTATCAATTCAATATCAACCACATAAGTTCACTTTTCTTAATAATTCTACCATGCTCTCATGTCCAATGTTAGTGGGACCAGGTACTACAACGGTAGTTGTTTCAATTAATCAACACTCAACTACGATGCACTTATTTCTTTGCATGCTAAGACTGAATGTCTGCATGCCGTGTTTGAAGATATCATCCCGAACCATGCACATTCCTTGGGATAGTGCTGGTTGTTTATGCCCCGTTGGAGATTTTTTCAATTACGATGCACCTGGAAGTCATGGAGTAGAGAACTCTGAAGATCCCTTTAATGGCTCTGATGACCACTCAATAACAACTGTTACACGGCTAATTGATGCTGAATATGAAGAAGATCTCACTGCCTATTGCTTCTATGCTAGAAGAAACTACAGAAAAGGGGATCAGGTATGCCCACACTTATACAGTTTTACTTCCTCTGAACGCCCTTCTTGATAGAGAAGTTTTGTAACTGAATGGTTAGTGTTTATGTGTTTATTAGTCTTCCCAATATTTCCCATGTTTATTAGTCTTATCAACCAGAGACGGATTTAAGGGGGGCACTTCCCGGACTTCCAATTTTTTTTACTATACATGTAATATTTTCATAAAAGTTTCACACTTTAATTAGATATTCTGATAAGTGATAATACTCTTTACCTTTATTTATTTTGAGCTCCCCCGTGATAATTTTATCTTTATTGTGATAATATTCGTGTGGTTAAACAAGGCTAAAATTATTTAAAAAAGAATTGGTTGATGTGTACCTTTTAAACTCTTTACCTTCAAATAATTTAATAAAATGTTATTTATTCTTTCTTATTTTCAAATAATTTTCCTTTGATTTGTCATTTCTTACGCTTTAATATATTAATACTTTTTTCTAGACCACTTACAGTTATTAAACTAAAGTTATTTTTTCATTGCCTAATATTAGAATGTAATGGATTTAAATGTCATCGTGTATGTACTAATGAAATTTTTATTCAAAAAATTAGCTGCAGAGCCCTTCACTAGCGAAAAAATTCTTCTCGCTACACTAGCGAAAACATTTCTTCTCGCTACACTAGCGAAAAAATTTCTTCTCGCTACACTAGCGAAAAAATTTCTTCTCGCTACACTAGCGAAACAAATTTCGCCCCGCTACACTAGCGAAACAAATTTCGCCCCGCTACACTAGCAATTTTTTTTGCCCCCTACACTAATGAAAAGAAATTCGTCCCTTGCCTCAAAATGCTGGATCTGTCCCTGTTATCAACCAAAGACTTGAAAGATAGGTTAACTATCGATTCAAGAACCGAAAGATGAAACTCGTCGGCTGAAATGGTTAAAGACTATCAACTAACAAACAACATCCATGACTTATTCCCAAAAGATTTTGGGGTTTGCTTACATGAGTCGATGCATGATAGCAAAGTCAAAATGAGAAGAAAGATAAGAAATAAAAAGATAAGGTATAATAAAATGGATAAAATAAATATAAATATAAGATAAAAATAACATAAGAACATAAGAAAGATAAAAGATAAAAGGATAAAAAACTTAAGAATGATATAAGTACATAGACATATACAACAACATCCAAGTCTTAGTCCCAAAAGATATTGGGGTCGGCTAACATGAATCGATACATGATATCACCACTAAAAGGAAAAGAAAGGAAATAAAGATAAAAAAGATAAGTTATTATAAGTACATAGACAGATAAGAAAGATAAAAGAAAAAGAGAAAGAGAAAAGAGATCAATCGTCCACACGAATATGCGCTCTCCACTTTGCTTTCTCCAAAGCTATACTCTCATCCAACCAAGAAGAAGCATATGAGTTCTGATTTCTCTAATCCAAGTTTGTTCAGGTCTTCCTCTCCCTCTCCTCCCCGTCTCTTCTCTCCACAACTCCACTCGTCTAGCAGGTGCATCACTCAGTCTTCTACGCACATGATCGACCCAAACCACTGCAATCGAGATATCTGCATCTTATCTTATATAGGCATTACTGCCACGTTTTATCTGATTAATTCATTCCTCAAGCAGTCTTTTCTGGTATGTCCGCACATCCAACGCAACATATGTATCTTTGCCACACTCATCTTTTGAATGTGGCATTGTTTTACCGCCCAACACTCTACGCCATACATTAATGCATGCCTAATTGTTATCCGATAAGATTTACCCTTCAGCTTTGTCGGCATACTTCAATCACATAGAAATCCTGATGCACTCTTCCATTTCATCCATCATGCTCTGATTTTATGCTATACATTTCCATCCAATTCACCATTCTTCTGAATTACGAAGTCCAAGTAACGGAACATATCACATATTGGTATCCACTTCCCATCAAGAGTGATTCCACTGTTACCAGTACTTCTACCTCCACCAAACTTGCACTCCATATACTCAGTCTTGCGTTGGCTCAGTCTATACACTTGATCTCCAACATTTGTCGTCATACTTCCAACTTTACTTTAACACCCGATTGTGTCTCATCAATCAATTCAATACCGTCTGGAAACATCATGCACCATAGTATAACTTCTTGAATGGGTTTGTAAGTTCATCCACGACTATAACAAATAAGAAATTACTAAGAGCCAATCATTGGTATACTTTGATAATAATAGGGAAGTGCAATCCTCCATACACCAGTACATACACTTGTAATCAAGGTAGTGAAAGTCGAAAGACGCACTTAAAGTGTTAGGGGCCTTCCAGCGCCTGAGGTGCAAGACGCAATAAAAGCGCTCGCATGACTCAAGTGACATTACTTAGATATTATCACATATACCCCCTCAATCCCAATGTGTAAGATATGTTTCCTATTCATTTGGTCACCACAAATCTCTCTTAATCTCTTACTTTATAAATCAAATTTTTATGAAATTTTATTCTGATTTTTGCGACTTTGTAAAGCTTTTAATGTAGTTTTTGAATTTGTATTTTTTTCTTAAAATATTTTGAGTGCGGATAGGGATCCGTTTGCTATATCGTTGGTCAAACATCTTAAATCGTAAAATATCTTACAAAGTGGGATGGGGGTACTATTTGACCAAATATGATGTATGTAACATCCTATTGAACCAAATAACCAAATGCTTATATCAAAGCTGAGTTTATTTAGATTATAATGTGACAGCTTTTAAAATCATGGTCCGGTTCATTTAGGATGTGATCTTTTTGTTCTACACCATTACCACCATATAAAAATGGGACAAAACCATGAAGGATTCAAGCTTTTGTCCTTTTGTGCCTTCTTCTTCCTCTTCTCTTAACCTCTTAAGTCGTCTAAGAGGTGCATCACTCGGTCTTCTACCATATGATCAAACCATTGCAATCGAGGCTCGTGCATCTTATCTTTTATTGGTGTTACTCTCACCTTTTGTCTGATTATCTAATTGCTCAAACAGTCTTTTCTCATATGCTCACACATCCAACACAGCATATGCATTTCTGTCCCACTATCTTTTGAAAATTGAAATGAAGAAGATGTGAGAAAAAGAGTTCCAAAATCAATTATATTTCTTTAAACTCCTTTAACTTATATACTTCATGATATGAAGACTAATAAATCTAAATATATGTACAATTGTATGAATATGAATCAAATAGGGAAAATCGCATATATGGTCACTCAGGTATCCACGAAATTAAAATGTCAGACCTGTATTTCTGAGATTGTAAATATCACCCCTCAATTGTCCAAAATGCTGTAAATGTGGTCCTTTTGAGGGGTGAAATATACAATGTGAGCGAGAGTACATTTCACAACTTAAAGGACCACATTTACAACAATTTGGACAATTGGAGGGTGACATTTACAATCTCAGAAATATAGGTCTGAGATTTTAATTTCGTGGATAAGTGATGGATCATATATGCGATTTTCCAAATCAAATATAATTTTAAGTTGTATTTTGCAATGTTAAATCTAATAAAAAAGGGGTTTTTACATAGATATTACTAAAATAAAACTTGTTAACACAAATATGACTAGAGTAGTGACTTTGTTTTAGTCATATAAAAAATCATAATTAGTCATTAGCAGTTTATTGGCTTGAGATTATGATGAAATAAAGCAAAATGACTCACTAAACTGTTTTGGACGCGATTTTCACTATGAGTCATCCGGAAACAGTCTTTCTGTGCTTTACTACAGGGGGAAGACTGCGTACATCCGATCTCTCTTACCCCACCGTTGGTGGGAGCCTTTACGGCACTGGGGTAAATGAAAATGATGAGTCATTAGCAGTTTATTATTTCCCTACAATTGCTCCTTGACACTTCATTCTTTCCCTACAATGGATGCGAACGTTACTGCAGATTCTTCTAAGCTACGGAACCTACACGAACTTGGAGCTTCTAGAACACTACGGCTTTGTACTGACGGACAATCCCAACGACAAAGCATTCATTCCATTGGAACCAAGCATGTACCAACTGTGTTCTTGGTCTAGTGATTTGATCCACATTGGCAAAGAAGGGAACCCATCATTCGCCTTACTATCCACCCTACGCCTATGGGCGACCCCGCAAGACATGCGCAAGTCCATCAAGCAATATGTGTATTCGGGAAATCAACTCTCTCCCGAAAATGAAGTTTCTGTCATGGAATGGCTTGTGCACAAGTGTCTACTTTTGTTGGGAAACCTTCCAACGTCACTTGAAAGTGACAAGAACTTGCTCCGCTTTGTTGACAACACTCTAGAAGATTGTAAAATGGAGAGTGGAGAAATGCCACTAGAGTTTTTGAATTTCCTTCAGAGCAAGAATTTGATTGGAGAAAAACCCTGTCTAATTACTAGCTTACCTAAAACGAGGTATTTTCACAAATGGAAGCTAGCTATCAAGTGGAGATTGCACTTTAAGGCAATGTTATATAAGTGCATCGAATATTGTACAAAGACGCGAGATAAAATTATTTCTCAAAATCATTGAACGGAATAATGAACTTGGCGCTGGGCTTGTAGCGTGCAGTATCATGTAATGTATGTAATCGGTAATCCCGTCTAATGTAATCAACTTTGTTTCGCTTCAATCCATTGGACTGTTTCAGTCCCAAATTAGATTAGACAACACTTTGATAGTTATAAAATACATAAGAATCAAACATTTATCAAATCATACCCGAAAATTTCAGTCCAAGTAAAAACATAGCAATAGCTAGCAACCACAAGTCCAATGCAGAGCAACGGAACAAAAGTTTGAATCCATCATTTTCATTTTCATTACAAAAGTCATGGTCCGGTTCCTTTAGGATGTGATCTTTTAGTAGCCCCATTCGGCCCCGTGTGAATGATTTCTAGCTCAAACCGACTGAATTGGTTGATTCTGCTGAAATTTATGAAGTTCGGGCTGAATTGAATGTATTGGTTGATTCTAGGGATGGACTCAGGCCGGGTGGCCGGAACCGGCCCGGGACCGGTACTGTTCCGGTCCGACCCGACCCGACCCGGTGGCCCGGTCAGTGACCGGTCCGGGTAGGCCCGGCCGTGGGTTTTCCGGTCCGGGCTCGGGTCACCCAAAACAAGGCCCGACCCGGCCGGGCCCGGGCCCGGTTCGGGCCAAAAACTATTTTTTTTTTCAATTTTTTTTTAAATTTTCGGGTTGGGCTGGGTATTTTGGGCCATTTGGGGTGGTTTCGGGGGTTGGGAGTGGGAGGGGGGTTAATTAGGAAGAGGAAAACAAAAAAAATTATAATGGGCCCAGCCCGGCTCGGACCCGGACCGGACCCGGTGGTTACCCGGGCCGGTCCCAGGTCCACCATTTCTGACCCGCCGGCCCGCCCGGGCCTAGGCCCGACCCGAACCCGGCCCGGACCCGAGTCCATCCCTAGTTGATTCTGCTAATTTATGAAGAAAAAACATTTAAAATATATTTTAGTAATAAATTAAAAAATATATATGAAAAAGTATAAAATGGTCGTATACAGTAACTTCAGCCAATACAGCCAAAAAAGTAACTACAAACGTACTTTTTCTTATTATTACACAATTCAACACGCGAAATCAAAAGATACGTGTTTGATTAAAAAGTTGGCTGATAAACCTGATAAGTCGAAAAAAATAGTCACCAAGCGGACTCTAAGATTGGTTTATCATTTACGTAATTTGTCGTGCAAGCTAAAATGAATAATAATATCATATTTTCAGGGAAACTCACATTTTTGGTCCATCAATTAGTCACCGTATTGAAATGTCAGACATGTGTTTATGAGTTTGTAAATGTCACCATTACTGTTTATAATTCATCTCCAGTTCAAAACTATCAATAAATTCACAGGGAATGACATTTACAACATATCTGTCAATCCGGGGTGAAATTTACAATCTTAAAAACAAGAGTTTGACATTTCAATATGGAGACTAATTGAGAGACAAAAAATGTGATTTTCCCTATTTTTCATGCCAAGACTCTCAATTGAAAAACAATACGTAACATAACTATTAACTAATTTAGGTTTCATTGTCGTTTATATATTTGTATTTGAGTTTGTCACAATGTTTACGATAAATTATTTTGCCTTTTGTTTTCTTTTGAATTGACTTTTTTCAAATTAGCCTTCTTATTCCTAAGCTTGATGATAGTTTTTTCCCTAAATATTACTATATTGAAGCCAATTTTAAAAAATATAACTACTTCTAGATATTGACAATAATGTGATTAACAATGTGTCACACTGTCACATATTTGAAAAAACATGATGTCACAGCGAAATTATTATGTCATTTTGATTTTTTCATGTCACTAAGAGTTATCATTGCTAGATTTTCATGTCATTTACGGTGTCAATACCGTTGTGAAACTTGTCGGTTGTTACTATGACTGTCGAAAAAAAATTCAATGACTTTTTTTGGGCAAAACAATGACTTCCACGACTGTCTAGTGGTCACCCTTTCATAATGACCTTAGTCAATTACAGTTACAACATAATTTTCAACCAATCTATCCATCAACACTGCCGCCAGCCACCCCGTCGGCACCACCATCCCACCGCCACTGCCATCCCCCAGCACACCGCACAATGCCCTTGCCCCTCCATGTCCTCACGCCCAGCTCTGACAAACCCAACGCTGGATCAATCCCACCCCAACCCCGATCTATTCAAGATAAGCACAATCACTAGTCGGCCCACCATCCTCCCCTCTCCAACCCCAAACCTTAGCCTCCATCCGTCTGGAGGCGCGGCAACCTTAGTGTGGCATCTTGGATGTGCGGCAACCTGGCGAAGGAAACGAACTGGAAGTTGAGTGGTGACCTTGAGGCCGAGGAGACGACATGGAGGCTAAGGCGGCAACCTGGAGGCAGTGATGGTGACCTATAGAAGGAGGCAACAACGTGGAATCGAAGGCTGAAATTAGAGGTGGCAACCTGATGGCGGAGCAAATCTGCCATCTTCCCCGATCGTTGGAGGCTTCGGAGAGAAACGACAACTTGGGAGAAGATAGTTTGATAGGAGTGGGCATATTTGTTTGGTTAAACCGAATCGAACTGTATCAAACCGAACTTAACCGAACCAAAATCGGATCATATGCATTTTTATTTAAGTTTGGTAATATTATCAAAATCATATTAAACCAAACCAAACCGAACAGTAACCGATAAAAACGAAACAAAACCGAATCGAAAGGAAGAAATTCAATAAAACCTTCATATATGGTTACCAAATGAGTCATCATTATTCCCTCCCTTATCATCTTTGTCTACATAGATATAACTGAGGAAAATGTTGGCTGAATTCATGTGCAAACATCCAAGGGGCCTCTTCTAGAGGAAATCATTCTCTGTTTCTCCTTTCATTCACCAACCTTCTTTGCCAAATTTCATTTGGTACTTTAGGTATACTATAATCACAGAAAATTGTAGGTATTTCAACAGCAGCGGATGAAAATTGGGAGGATTTGTTAGTAGTTACAAACTGTAACTACTAACAAACTTAGGTGATTAGGCCTACGCTTATGTGATTTAAGATAGAACCAGTCTACTGTTTGAAATACTCCTTTTGATCTGTTTGTGACAGCTTGCTGCTACATTCTCTTTTGAGCCCTTTGAAACTGAAATACCAACTCTTTTGCCATTTCTTCCCTTTGTAAAGGTGAAGATTGTCCATATAGTATTTCATGAGAAGTGCTTTGGGTAGCAGTATGAAAGTAGGTAATATACAACGACTCAGCTAGTCTTAAACATTTGCTCTCGGATTCCAAACCAGTGTCAAGTACTTCAGTTTGACTACCCCTTTGTGGATGCTATGCAGTACACTTTAAGACCTCGAATCCTTGTAGTCTAAATAGCACATCCCAAACAATATTTAAAGTTGGGCCTAACCGATGGTAGAAAAATGATGTGAAAGAGCTAGAAAATGTGATGTCTTGCTCATCTTTCTACCACAACCAGAATAACTTCCTAACCATAAGGGTACTTTTCGTTCAAGGAATGTCGAATTACTATGGAAATATTAGATTACCGGTTATGTTAGATAGATGGGAATGTGATTAATGTGTATCCCATTTGTGTTTGGTTACGATTAAGAGAATGTGACATTAAGTTGTTTGGTTTAGTCATATTTTATATTTGCATATTCGGTGAATTACTTAAATGCTCTTTAAAAATTTGTCTCTTAACACATTAAACTTATTACAACCTATGATTAAAGTAAATAAAATTATAGAAAAATAAAACATCTTAATAATAATTAAAATGAAAAGTAATTGAATTAATTTTAAGAAAAGTATGTTTAATTGCACAAATGACTAAGATTAGTGAACATTAGTAAATAACTCTAAGCAAAATAGGTTTAATTACACAAATGACAACGATTAGTGAACATTAGTAGCAAAAAAGCAAGTGAATGTCCTCTTATTAATGAAGAGGGGTGTTTGTGGAATAAAATTAATAAGCAACCAAGAATGTCACAACACCTAATTCAAAATTCAAAAAGTATAAGATATGTAAACGCAGGTAAATGTAACATTCTAAAAATAAATTCAAAATCGCGAACCAAATGCAGGTATCTCACATCCCGGGTATCAGATTCCGACCTGTATAAGATATTTACTCCAACTAAACGTACCCTAAGAGTTGAGCAATAACCCACGATTCCTTGATTGAGCGTAGTTGCATACTACCTCCGTCCCCCAAAAAGTTCTCCATTTGACTTCACAGCTTTTTAGACAGGATTAAATTAATGGTTGACTTTCCAAAATTAACCTTGATAGGATGGTGGCAGCCGAAATGTGTGAAATAATTAAAAGAGGGTAATAAATAGTAACCAATGGCAACTCTTATCTATTCAATTTCAAATAACCTCATTTTGCAATCACATCAACTTGTCATTACAACAATTATCACTTCCAAGCCTCTCTGTTTACACCACATAAAGAGCAACACAAAAAATTTAAATTTCCCTCCATACTTGACTATTCTACCAATTTTTTGACATCCCCTCCATTTTTCAAACATAAAAACTCTATCTATAAATAGAAAATATTAATGTGGTGCCTTTACTCCTATCTACTTCTCCCCCTTTTCTGGCCGGCTACCACCACATGGAAGCAGCTGCAAATATAACTCCAAACTCTTGCAGTTTGGATCTCAATCTGCCACCCCCTTTGACAGTAGTTTCTGAAACAGTGCAATCTGCGGCAGTAAAAAGTCATAATGAGGAAGAAGGGGAGGGTGCAGCAATGAACAGAAAATGGCCAAAACTAAGTGATGTCCAAAGAAGAAGAATCAGTGAAATAATGTTAACAAATTATGTGGATGGGAAACTTCATAGGAGCTCATTGATTAATAAAGCTAGGGAATTTAATGTTTCCACCAAGATCGTGCGAAAACTGTGGAACAACTGACATTTGGGGTTCCCCATGCTGACTTCCCCGTCTTCCGACCCCACACCACCTTCCCCGGTTGCTTTACCACCGTCCGTCTAAGCCGAGGTCACCTCTTCTCCGTCTGAATCGACGAGGCTTTCTAAGCCATCAAACGTATCTGAAACAAGGTTATCACCATATTTTTTCCTGATGGCCAAGTTCGGATCTGTTTC